CAAACCATCAGAAAATTGAAATCAAAATGATAGAAATATTTTACCAAATCTAAATACACTAAAAGTCTTTCTATTTTGATGGAAACGTCTTGCTTTCTATTTTTTTAGACACATTCATTGTTCAGTTATTTAAGCCTCAGGTCTCACACGAGAGAACCATTCTCAACCATTGATTGTGCTAGTTGAGAATCTTGATGACCGCCCTCCCCCGCAGGAAAGAACATTCCACCCGCCCTGGGCTGGCTCGGTATGTTCGATAGTGTCGAGATGACGAGGTGTAACCACTTTCGATATCGTTGAGATCATAGCAGGGAGGATGTGTTTGTGGTTGAAACCATCACTTCAACGGTGACATATAGGTTTTAATCATGAAGGCGAGAATTTGTAAAAAAAAAAAACCCCGCCAAAAAAACCTGTCCAAATGTTTGTGATGCAACGTCTATAGTTACCACCTAAAGAAGTAGTAGACTCAGCACGAACATGCTCACAGTGCTGATGTTAACATGCTTGTATTTAAGAGGTATAAAGTTAAACATGTTCACCATCTTGATGATGATTTTGCGCATTAGTTCCAAACCAAAACACAAAATACAGCTGGGGCTGATGGGAATGTTTTGCAGGGACTTGGTTTAAAATCAAAAATCAAATTGGGACAAATGTACTTTTTACCATTTTGCCATTAACATTGATTTACATTTAGCATAAATCACTGAGATTATTTGACCATTAGCCGTTATGATGAGTCAGGTGTAGCATGTTTCTTTTTTTACCATGTTACTGTTAGCATTTATGATACAACTTTAACATGTTTTATTTTAACCATTTTAATGATTTACCATTAGCCTGCATTTTGTTGATGCTTGACTTACATCTTCAACTCAGTATCTTGAGTCCACGAGGTCTATGTTTCAAAGAACTTTTATTCTAAGAATGAAACTCACTGGCAAATTTGCAGAATTTGCAAATCTGTAAACAAAGCTCGGTAGTTTGCATTTTCTCTGCAGTAACAACGTGAAACAAAAAAACTGTACATCATGTCCACATTCATGTAAACAGCAACCCAAAGCAAACACAGCATGAAGTGGGTCAACACAGGCTAACTACATTTTTGTGACACTTGGTGTGTGGTTATTATTTCCATTAACATCTTGATATAGAAACATGAGTCTGTTTCCGTGTCAGAGGCAAAAGAGACCTGAAAGTGGTCTGCTCATAGAACCACGGTGGACCACAGGGGAAATTTATCAGCAGGGTTAATGGCAATAAAAAGAGACCCCCAGTTCTTATTTGTACCTAACCCCATAACAGTTTATTCTGGCTGGTGGTATACGATGAACCACAGGAGTACACGATGTGTGAGTTGAGTGAGGCTGCGTGTCAGAATGAGTTTCATCAGTCTGCTTGAACTATGAAGTGTCATGAAAGAGTAAAAAGACATTTTTTAAAGCCATAGAACTCATTTTAATCTATACCATGCACACACAATTAAATTTGTTGTTATAAATAATTTCCTTACACAAGATGTCAGATAATAAATGTACATATTATAATTGTATAACCAGAAATACACCAAAACAGAAATGGGACATGGCAAACTCATATAGTTTAGAATATACTAGTGAATATTATCTAAATATATCATCACTATGAGTGATTAAGATGTATGGTTAATAAATTTGTAAACTGCTATTTACTAAAGATTACAATCCAGGTTTTCTACGAAACCTGGTAGAAGGTTGGAACATGGACCAACAAAGAAATTAATTTTGTGGCGGATCCAGGATTATTTTCCACTTTCTTTAACATCGCAAGATGGTGTTTCTTCTGACTGTTTCCCTGATTTTTTCAGTGAATGATTCATGATGCAAAAAAATTGAGGGGACCCCAATTTGGCACAGATTCAAATAAAATCCATTTGTAGTTTAATTATAGTTTCAAAGGAGGGTAGGTTTTTTCAGCTCCTGTAAAATACATTTTGGCTGATGTATGTGCTCTGAGTGCCATTCTAGTTTATTTCTTTAATTTCCTTGGAATATATTTGAGGGATAACTGTTTGCGTTAGAGTTACTTTGTTAAGTTTAATGAACCAGCAGCTACTCATAAGGCAAAAAATCTGTAATATAAGTATCGGTTATATTCAGTGTTGAACTAGGAGACTAAAGATGGTGAGTGATTATTGAAACGTTACCCACACGTGATGAATAGAGGCTTGCTCCATTTACGGTACACAACAGGCCAAAGTCGCAGAATTTAAACAGTATTCCAAAAAACACTTGTATCATTTAAATGCAGTGAGAGAATTCCCCACAGCATATATATATATGTATAAAATAATATTTTTTTACCAGATTTAATTAGAGCCTATTCGTTTGTATTATTACAGAACTATAGAACTCAGCATCTGTTAGTTACTTAAGCCCAGAGCTTTACTGTTGTTCTTCTTGAACCTGATGACAGCTTTACACACTAACAGAATTCATTTATATATATTCAGTCACAATCATAATGTGACTTCCTTTCTTTCATTAATTATATGATTCTATATATATATATATATGAATCTTTAATTCATATAATGTTATGATCACATATTTAATATAGTATAATGCATATTGCTATGAAATATTATTATTTCCATTATAATTTATTAGAGATTTCTTCATGAAACTTTAGTGCAGCTTCCACAGTCTGCATTCTATAAGCCTGTGAGGTCGACAATAGCTTTGATGAAAATTGTGTCATCTCTCAGATAGGGGCTCTTGCCGGCCAATTTAGCCAGTGGGCAGAACAACGGGCAGCCACTGGCGATGTTCATCTCACTGATCGGCCGCTGGAAGGATGTGGAGGTGACATCAGGACGGAAAGCGTCGATAATGTGCTCCCTGTTATTCTGATCCAAGAGCATTAGAGTCACCTGGGGGACAGGACAGGAAGAATGCATCAGTTGATCTGGGATTAAGGATTTAAATAAGTGAACAGGTGAATTTTTTTTCTCTTACCTTCTGACTGAATGGCCATTTCAGCAGAGCGTCATACCTGCCCCTCATGACCACAAAGAACAGTGAAAGGTGCGTCCCACGTCCTGTTCCATCGCCATTCAAATACAGCCTCAGACACATTTTGTAGCCGTACTTGCTGGAGTAAAATGCTAAAACGAAGAAAAAGAGGAATTCAGAATGTAAACAGAGCCTAAAACCAGTGTCATATGAGAATAGGAGTGACTCCTTAAGGAAAACAAGGGTGTACTTCAGTGGAAGTTCCCTCATCTACATGCCAAGAGCTAACATCATGCAAACCACATGAACTCATTCAAATTCAAAAGTAAGCTGTGGTGTAGGATGTGCTACAATAGACCTTTGAAATAGGTGTGGGCGTGTTGTCTTACCAGGTGAGAACATTGCAGGAGTCCGCCCAGCCACCGCATCCTGTCTGCGGCGTGAGAAGTCAGAGACTTTCCAAACAAATATCCCGTCGTAGGTGCAGAACTGGAGTTCTCGCAGCAGATGTTCGGTCTCCGACAGCTGCAAGTCTCTTATATTCAGCGTCCTCTCCAGCTGTCGTACTTTGTTTGACAGATCTTCAATCTTTTCTTGGTCTAAGCGATGTTGATGCGAGAAAGCTTCCAATGTAACAGTGCTGCGCTCCACTTCACGGTTCAAGACACACACAATGTTTTGTAAAGCGTTCACCTGTCGAGAAAGGGCAACAAATACAAATGCATTCAGATCCTCATAATAAGACAACAGTGGGTAACAAATAGCGTTAGATCCACTGGGCCTCACCTTTTTTTCCAGGTCCACGGACGGTGTGAAGGCTGCAGCTCCAGCATCCATACTGACTCCCTCCTCAGGAGCCCTGTACAGGCCCAGACCAGAGTCCTCCTGCCACTCACCGGGACCTGTAGCCTCTGCACGTACCCGACCCACTGACATCACCATGGGCAGCAGCAGACGCAAGTGCTCCATGGTGCTGCTGTGCTCATGTTCACTGAGCTTCCCGTTCTCCACCTGGGAAGAACAACAGAGCTTATTTAGCTGATACTGTAAGAAGGTCAAAGCTTAACTCTCCGAAATCCAGGTGTTTCGGTCAGTTTAGTGTTGAGCACTTGCTCTGCTGAAATGTTATGTTGCTAGTTTTACTTTGGAGGTTTTGGAAAGTTGAATTTAATCTTTTGCCTCTTGTGAATAAGGTTAGCAACTAGGGAGTGTTCAGAAAGATGTGAAGCCTTAAAGTGTTAGGAAAGGAGAACCAAGATGCAGAGAATATCCAACCCCACTTCCACTTAGCATAAAAAAAACAAAAAAAAAACCTTTATTCATAACAGAAGATAGGCACTAAATGTACTATGCGCTTTTATTTTGTAACCCTTATTAATCACTCTCCCTTCCAGGTTTACTTCCAGGAGTGGGTTTTCATGCACACATGTAAATGCACAGGATTCCAGCAGATGTAAATGTTTCCTGAGTAAATTAAGCATTTTCTTTCAAATGTATAAGTCACTGGTCATTTGCATGTATGTGTATAAAGAACAGTGAGAAATATGAAAATGTAAATATATGTTTTATTGTGGGAGTGTTTCCCTGGAGGAGGGGAGAGATCAGTGTGTGTGAGAAGGAGGGGAATCTCCCACTCTGCTGCTGAAATCTGCTACACCTGGGTGACCTCTTTGTGAGCCAGTAGTCTGCTGTTTTTTTGGTGAGAAAATTTGATCTTTTTGTGCACCACCACAGGTACAACTTTGAAAATGTTTTAAAAATCATTCAATAGCTGGAATATGTTTTCTTCCAGATTGTTAGAAGAGTGGATTCTGTGGATATAGCAAGTGCTTTTATCAGGCCTCTTACAAAAGAGAATTTATCAATATTATTTGCTGTTTAAATGAACAAATAACTCAATAAGAGCATCATAATTGATTAACATACATACCACAAATTTGCAGCCCACTTCACTGAATGGACAGGCACTCTTTGACTTGGCGCAGGTTCTGCTGTGATCATTGAACTGAAGGTAGAATGAAGAAAAGAAAATGTTACAGAACCAGATCCAAAACGCAAATGACTCAACTAGAAAACTGGACATTAAGGGTAGGATTGTTGGTGTGAAAGAAACTAAAAAGTCATACACTGAATTTGAAAACAACATTTCCTAAAACCTCCATTAGAAAGAGGACTTTAAATGTAAAGATGTGGAATTAGCAGGATTATATCCAACTAAATTTTACTTTAGTCGATTGTTACATGGATATTCTGTCTGTTGCTTGTGTATTGGATGATACTTTTTTTTTTTTTTTAAATAGCATTTTTTTTAGCATCATTTTTTTAGCCTACAAATGCTATATGTAGCATTACCCTATTTGGTGATTAGTCTATGCTTAGGTGCAGTATATTGAAGCAACCAGATAGACCTTTTCAGTTTTATTTCCAGACAGAGTATAGCATACAAAAGCTGAATAATTTGTAACCACTGAATTTATATGTAAAGTTAGAGGTCTAGTTGAATAATCGCTCAAACCTTTTCTCTTGGGATCTTCTTCTTGCCACAGTCTTTGCATTGTAATGGAAACTTCAGGCAGATTTCATCATGGGCCTAAAATACACCACGAAGGAGAAATTAGCTTGTGCCCATTTAAGGAGACAGAACCAGCCGCTGCTTCACTTGAGATGTGGGTATGTGGGATCTCAATCACTCACCTTGATTTCTTTAAAGTTGAATGTCATTTTGCAGTATTTGCAGTTGAGTGTCCTTGCCTCACATTCTCTCTCATTGTGGCGGGGCTGGTCTGAGAGCAGGATCGAGGTTTTGCAGGCCTCACACTGAACTCGCTCCAAGTCACATTGGCCTTCATGCTGAGCCTGAAAAATGGAGGACAGTTTTTTTCACCACTGCATTCCTACAGTTTGTGCTTCTCACGCAAGCCGCATGAGTCCATTCATTATCGTAATGTGATGTTATCGGAGAATGACATTTGAGCTTAAGTGTTCCGGTTTTGTTTGGCTGCACATAACACAAAGAATTCAAGACCTGTGGCTCTTTTGTTATGTGTTCTTATTTAAAGACACTACACCCTAGTCAATCATTGTTAAAATAAATGACTCCCATGATTGCAATTTAACTAATACACCCATGCAATGTTATTGAGTAAATGAGGTGAAAGCTCTGGAAGAACACGTTCTGTTCTTGCAAAACAATTTTTTTTATCTCCAGTGCAGGTCAAAGTTCAGAACAGTACACGTGATGTGCATAATTATATTTGTTATTATCAGTCTAGTTGTCTTCTCCTGTAACCTAATCAGTACAAATATTCAAGGAATTAGTATATTAATTTTATATGTTGTATGTGGTTGAAAAATAATAATATACTAAAGAAATGAGATAAACAGATCTTTTTTCCAAACATCTTCCCTCAAAACAAATGAAAACAAAACCCGGAAAGTTACTAGAAGATGTGAACGTGAAAGTGCAAAAACACAGAAGCAGGGATTTAAAAAGAAGCGTAACAATAGATAAGGGGATATTAATTAATGACCATCTTTTTTTTTTTGAACCGGCAAGGTCAAGTCTTTTTGAAAAGAACCGGGAAAAGAAAGTGGGCGGAGCTCCAAAGCGAGGTGGAGTTTCATGCCCCGTGAAGTGCAACTCCCTTTTCAAAATGTCCACCAGCATCGGCACGCTGACACATCACAGCAGAAACCACAGGTAGGTTAACCTCTTATCGCTTTGACTGCTCGCTATCTGACGCACAAAACCTTGAACTGAAATTCCACAGTAAGTGTGATAATCTTAATCAGTTTTTCAGTCGGATGCCCGTCCCTGCTACCCCACACATACGCCACATTCAGCTTCGTAACACTTCGTTATGGGTGTGTTTGGCTAGCTCATGACAGCGGAAGATCTTTCCAGACGACAGTGACTAATACTGCATCCCACAAGTAATCATACATGAGTGTTGATGTATCACCGACTGTTGTTGAAAATTCCATGAACTCTGTGGTAAAACTACAGCACATGAGAGGATGGTTCATTGGAGGGAGAAACCAGTCAGAGACACCTCTGCAAAACATGCAAAAATAAATCTCATATTCAAACATTTCCTGCCATCACATCATTTCAATGTTTCCTGTGTCAGTACCTATCTAGGTCACAAAACCACAAACGATGAAAACTACAGACCAAAAAAAACATCCTGTACACAAAATTTAAGATAAAGATCTCATTTAATCAATAAATCTGACTTACATGCCCAGCACCGAGATGGTTACAGTTGAAACACAACTGTAGACACATGAGACCCATTCAGACACAACACCAGAAAGCAGCTTTATGATTTTAAATCGGTTTGTTTCCTTTCTTGCAGCCTTTAAAAATTAGGTAGTTCCCTTATATAAACCAGGCAGTTTAATTTTCATGTAATGGTTTTTTCACCCTCCATCACCAAATAAGTCTAAAGCAGCATTTATCTGTCCATCTCCGAGTGTGTTTGACTGCCTTTAATTGCCCTGGTACTTTTCCACCAAGCTGTTGTTGATAAGTAAGTTAGATATGTTCGGGACTTTCCAGGCATGTTAAGTTTCACTTCCTGTTTCCCTGTAATACAAGCACACTGTTGAGAACTGAAAGCTTTAAGAAGAAGAAGAAAAAAAACTGTTGCACAAGGTCAGTACAAGAGAGAGAGAACATAACAGAAAGCAGACAACGAAAATGAAAATTAAAGTTTGAACTATACTCCCTCACCTCATACTCTTTTATAGAGCCTGTCCAGTTGCAGCCTTGGTTCAAACACCTGGCTGGCAAACTTGCAATTTCTCGACCTGCTGCATTGTCTGGAAATGCCTGATGAAAGAGGAAAGAACAAAGAGCTCAGTGAAGCCAGAAATAAAACCAGCTGGCAGACAGAGTGGGATGCATTGTATGAGGTTGTGGTGAAGGAAATCCCCCACCACTAAAAGCAGCATGTGGGAGTCATACATTGCCTTTCAAACAGACTCGGAGTAAAGGGGGTAAACTGATGACACAGAGGATGGTTCACAAAATGACTGCATAATTGAACACTTACTTCTTTTCCATTAAGAATGGATATAGGCTCCTCATATATTTCTTCCTGGCGGCAGGCTTCACAAGGCTTTGGCCCCGAACTGACAAACAAAACAGGTTTGTGAGTTTACAGTTAAATAGCTTGTTTCCTGCTGATCCAGAACTGGAACAACTGATAAGTGATGTTAATGATAACAGAAGTGACAGGAAGGAAGAAAAAGAAATGTGGGAAATCAATGACTAGGTTAAAAAGCATGTGACATATTAATTATCTCATACTTTCAAAACATCTAGCTAACATTAAGGATCAGGTTTATCACATGTGAAACAGCATTTCACATGACCCAGGCACTTTTTGTTTATAGACTTTTCATAAGTAGAAACACAAATGTCACAGGAGCTTTTTGCTGTGGTGTGAATGTCTGCATATCCATCCATCCATTATCTATACTGGCTATCATTCAGGGGAAGCTGAAGCCAATCCCAGCTGACATTAAGCAAGAGGCGGACAGGTTGCCAGCATATCGCAGGGTCGATTATACAGAGACAAACAACCATCCACACTCACATTCACACCTATGGTCAATTCAAGACCATTGGAGTCTCCAATTAACATAATGCTAATCTGCATGTCTTTGGACTGTGGGAGAAAACCCAAGCAGACAAGGGGGAAAACATGCAAACTCATGCAAACTGTTAACAACAATCATTAGTGCATCAATGAACAACCATTGAGTCAGTGAGAGGAAAAAAAACAATGGACACCTTTAGCATGATTCAATCAGATCCTTGTAATTCACTGACACCAGTATTAGAGTCCAGTCATCTGAGGGATGAGTGTGTGCATGAACCAACTGATCTTGGGTGCACAAAAAAAGGAAAAATAATCCCCAGAGGCTAGCAGAGATAGGAACACAGGATGGGCTGAAGCATGTCCAATTAGAGATTAAGCATTAGGGGGTGGAAGGAGGGAGTTGCATGTCACATTGTTGTAGGCGGTCTGTGGATCTCCAGTCTACCTGGTGAGTTGCTTGAAGCAGTGTACACAGAAGCGATGACCGCACTGAGCCTGAACGGGCTTCCTCAGGACCTGGAGACACTGCTGACATTTGTATTTATTCTCCATGGGCACTGAGAGAACACTGAGGGGGATCCCCGGTAAAGAGTTTGCACATTCCAGCGATGTTCGGGCCATCCTTGTCCGTCAATCTGGAGCTCTTCTGTGAATAGATAGAAGACATAGCACATTTTAACGGCCAAACAATTCTTAAGCAAAATGAAGAGACAGCCAATCGATCACATTTTGTTCTGATTCCAGTAACTGCTGAGAACACAGGTTTGGTGTTCTTCACATACCATTGAGTAATTATTGGTTCTACCCATCCAGGTTACATTTTCTGGCAGTGTTAGATGTAATTTGAACAGCATTATGCCTTAGGCAAATAATCTTGGTGCCATTTCAACAGCAGTAACCTTTGGCTACAGACTCAAACATGTGTCACAGCCAAATGATGAAGGCACATTTAGAACACAAGGTCTTTATTGTCACCGCACCACAGCACTCACACACAAGCTGAGGATCATTAAACACCCAAAATATGATATATGATGCCTCAGTGTAAGTATTGCACCTACTAGTTGAGTATTTGCAGAGGCATCAGGCTACATTAAATCCACTGGTTTGTGTGTGGGTTCCTGGCAGAGGGACAGGTGATAGATGGGTATGGGTTTGACAAAGTTCAGTTAACAGATGGCTGTGGGTGTGCAAGCCCAGGATTTTATAGCCACAACGTGCTTGTCAGATGTCAACAGGGCAAACAGGTAATATGATGGGACAAGTCTTTGGAAGCTCTGTAAAGGCAGCAAGAGGGAAGGACAGCTCTGCATATACAATGGCCATAATACCATACATGCAAAAATCTAATGGTTTTTCATAAAATGTTAAAATGATGTTCCACAGTTCAACATTGGAGCCTTGTTAAACTAAAACCTGCTGAGACATGCTGCTTATCAGCTTATCGGTTGAATCTGTGGGGGAGATGCTTATCTGTCATAAAAAAGACACGCTGGTGACAGATTTATCCAACGAATACCTCAAAGAATGTAAAACTGGTAGAGCTAAAGATCAATGAATAACACATTGAGAGAGCTTCGTTGGAACTTGTGTTACTTCATAAGAGGAACAGGATGCAACTAAATAGTAAAGCCTTACCTAACACATGAATTTCAAAAGTTCTGTGAACTTATACACACTTACGAAATCCTATTACACAGAAACTGACTGCAACCTCTTCAACGTTCAGGAGATATAGGTCAAACTGCACGATGATGGTTAAACTGCAACCATGTGTTGTGCAATATTTTTTTCCTTGGGTAAAGACAGAGATTTTAAAAACATTAAATGTTGGGTAAGCTACTGAAAAGTTGGAATTTATTCATTAGTAACTGATAATCATGCTTGCACTGCCATCTAGTGGTTATCTATAACCCAATGCACAGTGGATCAAAGGGGTGTGTGGTCACACGGCGAAACGTGTTTCGTAAGATCACACTGATCTTGACTTTTGAACACCCAAATCTTATCAGTTCATCCTTGAGTCAAATTGAACCTTTGTAACAAATTTGAAGAAATCCCCTTCAGGAGGTCTTGAGATATAGCGTTCATAGCAATGAAGACGGACATGTACCCTGAAAAACATAATGCCTCTGTGTCACTGGGTGTCTGGGTGTCACTGGGTGTCACCGAGTGCCACTGGGTGTCACTGGTGCAGATTTATATGCTTTAATAAATAAATACATAAAATGTATTTAAAATGCGTTCAAAGAAAGCCACTATGCTTATAATTTGGAATATTTCTTCCTTAAGTGCCATCTAGTGTCATAATCAAGAATGACATTGTGAAAAATTGAAGGATGTGAACAGTATGAAACATCTACCATGTCAACAGGTGTGCCCAGTTTGAATGAGGTCTCAGGAGCCTGCAGCTTTTCCCTTTCATTAAAACCAAGATGAGGTAACGGTGGTGTTATCTGCACAGAGGGGCTCTTGTATCAAGTCTTTTGTGGCAGAAAGACATTATTACACTGACCTCTATGGGTGAAAAGAAACTTAAAATGTTCAAACTTGACACCACTTTCAGTTACACCCCAAGCAGTATATACCACAAAAAGTACCTTGCTGGTGTTGTAGTTTAACCCCTTGTGAGCTTTTACTCTTCTCTTTATCAATGGATATAATGTAAACTAATGGGTAGGCAAGAATTAGCCATGTCACCAGGTTATAACTCTGCTCACTGACACTATTTCTTTCCATTTAAACTTTTTAGTTTGTCTTTGTTTTACATGATGCAACTTAGACACAAAATGCATTCATAATATCAACATGCAAGTCTTAAATTACAAAAGAATGGAAGGGCTGAGTTTCTGAGGTAACTTTCATCATGAATTTTTATTGGATTCATTATCATTAACATAATTATAATACATTGTATGTATTGAAGACAAACAGCAGGTTTAGTCCAAGCCCCCCCCCCCCAAAAAATATCTCCCTCAAACATTGCATCTTCTTGAGAAAC